GTGGTAGAACTGCCACCCAGGCGCGTCAGGGGGGAACCCCAGGAAGACGCAAGGAGCAGCACGAGGGGACAGCTTGTCCGCAGACAAGTCGCGGACAAATGCCCAAATCCCCAGACCCGGAACGCCGACGCATCGCCAACCTTCCCCGTCCACAGCAAGGCTGGGGAGGTCTCCGGCCTGGAGACCCTGGAGTGAAGGTTGATCTGATGCGCCGCGTACCGGACCGCAAACGGCCACAGAAAATGGGGGGCAGCCGCATGCATCATAGACGTACGAGCGACGTCCATGACCATGCCAATGCAGCGCTCAGCAATCCCATTTTGCTGCGGAGAGTCCGGAAGCGTGAAGGTCTGTCGGATGCCCCGTGCGCGATAGTAGGCTCTCAGAAGGCCAGAGGAAAACTCTCCGCCTTTGTCTGAGTGCAGACGCAGAACAGGAAAGTCCGCGCCAAAGCTCTGCCTGAGCTGGAGACGAGCTGCGCGGATCCAGTCGATCAGCACCTCAGTGACATCACCCTTGCTGCGCACGGGGAAGACTGCGGTGTAAGGCGAGTAGTCGTCAACAATTAGCAGGAAGTAGCGCTCGTGACCCTGTCCACGGACGCGGGCTGGGCCCCACACGTCCATGTGAAGCGTCTGCAACAGGGCCTCTGTCGGAGGAAACTTGGAGGAGTGAGGGGCAGCACGCTGGCGCCCCTCAACACAGGGGACACAGGTAGGGCCAGGGCCCTGAGGAAGGGGAGGGAGGGACCGGGGGAGACCAGAAACAAGAAGACGAGAGGCCATGCCTCTGAGCCAAAGCAGAGAGGGGTGACCAAGGCGGTTGTGCCAGAGGAGAGTCTCGTGAGACAGGAGACGACACGAGCAGGGGGCAGACTCAGGACCAGACCTGGACGCTGCAGCAAACACCTGACCCGACGCAGCTACCCTACCAGGCTCAGCAACTAGAGGAGACGCAATGGTCAGTGTGTACACGCTCGACCGCGGCCGACGAGTAAACGTGGCCAGGTGTCGGCCTGTCCGAGCGTCTGAGCAGTGGGTCACCCGCTGACTCGCAGGAGTGAACAGGTGAACCCCCGCATCCTGCAAGTCAGCACCACTCACCAAGTTCGTAGAGAACGAGGGGAGGTAAAGACCAGACAGGGTGCCAGAGGGGGCCGCCGGACAAGGGAGGACAGTGGAGAAGTGAGCAAGGACAGGGCCCCCAGAGGGGTCTGCTAGAGATACTGCAACTGGCCGACCAAGCGGCGTGAGTGTGGTGCTGTCTCGAAAGAAGGAGCGGGAAGCCCCCGAGTCAAGGGTGAAGGTGTGAGAGGCCGAACTAACGCGGTACCTGAGAGAGCAGACTCACCCGCACCTGAGGAAGCAGACTCACTAGCACCTAGAGCAGCAGCCGCACTTGTACCTAGAGCAGGAGACACACTAGCACCCAGAGCAGCACCCGCACCAGCAGCTAGAGCTTAGGATCTATACCCGGGTTAGGCGGTACGCACAGGTGACCGGCACGGTCAGCACTAGTAGGCAATGCATACATGGCAGTGAGAATAGCATCATAGTCAAGAGCAAATATATCTACCCTCTGCCTAAGCAACTCCACCCAGTCGAGGAGCTCAGCCTCGTCGCCAAACTCGTTACGCCAGGCGTCGCTCAGACGGGCAAAGCAGCGTGACGGTGTGTGACTAGGCATCCCACAAGGCTGACCAGTCCGAGCACTAGTGCCAATCACGTAAGAGCAGCGAGCAGAACTGAGAGACCCTCCACTCTGAGCGTACCACTCACGAAGCTGCCGGGGCGTGAGAGACGCGCGTGGGCGTCGTTGGAGCTGCATCTGGCCGCCGCCAGTAGAAGCGGGAGCAGGAGTAGCAGCAGTAAGGCAGGCAGCCAAGCAAGCAGTAGGCAGCGCGCTAGTAAGGCAGGGGCTCAGCAGTGGTGGGAAGAGGAGGCTCGACGACTCGGCGACTCGGCAACTTGGTGGCACGGCGACACTGCAGCAACTGCGGCTCGGCAGCTCGGACGAGTCGGGCGGCTCGGCTGCTCGGGCGACTCGGGCGGCTCGGCGGCTCGGCGGTACGGCTGCTCGGCAGCAACTGCAGCTCGGCGGCTTGGCGACCCGGCGGCTCGGGCGGCTGAGGTGGCGCTGCGGCTCGGGCGGCTCGGGTGGCTCGGGCGGCTCGGGCGGCTCGGGCGGCTCGGGCGGCTCGGCTGGCTCGGGCGGCTCGGGTGACTCGGCACTAGCTCGGCGGCGCCGGCGGCTCGGTGGTGACGGCGGGGCCGCCTGGGGACGGCGGCGGGGCCGGGTGGAGCGGCGACGGGGCCAGCAGAGGCGGCGCCGGGGCTGGCAGAGGTGGAGCAGGGTCGCAGGGGCGTAGGGGCAGGCGACGGGGCCAGCAGAGGCGGGGCCGGATCGGTGCAGGACTGCAAGGCCGCAAGGGAGGTGGCGGGGCCGCGGTGGAGAATGGCGGCAGAGGCTGCGACGAAGGGCGGCAGGGGCCGCGACGAAGGGCGGCAGGGGTCACGACGAAGGGTAGGGCCGCGACGAGAGTGGCGGGGCCGCGACGAAAGAGGCGGGGTCGCGCGCCTCGGGGCGGGGCCGCGACGTAGGGCGGGGCCGCGACGTAGGGAGGGGCCGCGACAAGGGGCGGGGCCGCGACGAAAGAGGCGGGGTCGCGCGCCTCGGGGCGCGCGCTAGGTTGCACGCCGCGGGGCGTGCGACAGATCGAGTAGCAGCGGAAGCAGTAGTAGGGCCTTAGGAACAGTTCCCACGAGGGAACCTGCTCGATACCATGTGAGAATTGAAACGAGAATGAATCAACTATGAAGTGAGTGAGTACAAGTACTAACCCTAATTGGGTTGTACCCCCTATGGGATACCCCACTATAGCCTACACAAATGTATAAGCTATATAGCATTCTGACAGAACTAAGCAGCTACGATCACCTCTAGTAGTTCGTGCCAACCCCCGTAGTCTAGCTCACTACCGTTGTAGAGTGATTCTTCTCATGGTGCGATGAGCGTGGATTGAACACGCGACCTTCAGATAGGAGCCGACTTATGCACCTACTGAGTAGTTTGTGGGCCGGCAGCAACGATGGTCACCATGGTCGACCCCGTAGCTGATACAGGTGTAGCGGCCACCTTGGAGACACGTTTGGCTGATGCGAGGAAACGCCACGCAGATGGCGAGTGCGGGACGATCCCCTTGCTGATCATCGAGTTCGGCATCCGGTCGCAGTGGGCAACGGAACACCCTTCTCGTCCTGCATCTCCTCGACCGGTGCGCAACGAAGATGTGCGGTCGGTATAGGAGCTCCTCTACAAGGCCGGTATAGGAACTCCTCAACGAGGCTGGTAGAGGCCTCGTCTAGGCGAAAGCTGCTCGACGGAGCATTCGTCGAGCTACTCTACAGAAGTCGCGCGACTGCGAAATTCGTCATAAGGGCGAATGTCGCCTAGGAGGTTTTTGCAAATTCAACTTGTAGAACGGCATCACGTGTTCGGCGGTGCACCGCTGGCGAAACCGTCAGCACGTGTTCTACCAGGTACCTGCGCAATGTGCTTAGCAGCGCGTCCGTCTACCTGCACCTACTTGGTAGGTGCGCACATGCGTAGAAGTTCACCTGCCTCTGCGGCGCTGGCAGACCGCTGCTATACCACGTTGGCAGACTACTCTGCTGCAGCGTTGGCAAGCCGCTCTTCTGCTGCGCTGGCATAGTTTGCCCTACAGAGGGCTCGTTATGAGTTGCAATGCCATTTTAGCTATATCGACTTGCATGCCTCATTGTAATCTAATGTTCTCTCAATTTCTTAATGAATCTTTTACCATATTTCTATGTGAACACAGCAAGTAGTGAGAACGCCTAGCGCAACGCTATGATTATCTACACAACCATGTGCCTTCCTCCGTAGTTCACTCCCGTTGTGTAGTGACTCTCTGCAAAACCTGACTTGTACGGTGTACAGTTTGGTTGGAACGCGAAGTTGCCAGCCAGGATTTCCAGATGCACTGTTCATTACCATTCAGGCAATAATGTTGACCATCTCGGCAATGCTGGTTACCATGGTGGCAATGAGAAGAGATCTCTGTTACCATTTGGACACGTGAATCATCTCGCGTGCAATCAAGTTCCATGAGAATGCCCCTTAACCCTAGGGAACATGAAATCTCATTAATATGAACCACTGAGAAACGCGTCTGCACTTACTCAACAACACTGGAGGTTGCGACTAAGGGAGGAGTCCGTGTTTGCTTGGAGTTACGGAGAGTATTGAATGAAACACAAATGAACTGCCACACCTAATTATATGGGCCAATGACGGTCCGATAGGTTTTCATTATGGGAAGATATGCCACTCGTATTCAACAAGGGACTTGATAATTATGTTTGGTAAAGAAATGGGTACGATCACTGCAGAAGGTGTTTTTACATGTTTGATAAAACGTTTCACAGAATCAGTCACAATCAGCTGGGAAGAAATAACGCGAATGGTCACAGATGAAACTCCCGCTAAAAAATAATAATACCCAAAACGAGTCTGGATGCATTCTCGGATAAATCAAGCCCAAACACAACTCGCCATGTATTTAGGGTTGATCCGTTCCCAAACCGCATTGGATTCCGATTGGGAATTAGTTTTTTTCAAAGTTAGTTGATTGGTTGAGCGCGAACCGTAATTTTTAGAGTTTCAAGAATTCTTGGCGGGAGTTACATGTGTGACCGTTCGCGTGATTTTTCACCTGTTGTTAGTGACTGAAACCGTGACCCCACTTACCAAACCCGTCAGCAAACCCGATACAGTGGCCATACGCGTTACTTTTTGCCGTTCGCGTTATCGAGTTTTATGTTGGTTACTTGTGACACACTTTCCCCTTTCTTCTGGAATGAACCAGGCCGTGACTCGCTACAAGTGTGTCCACTCCTTCTCTAAACTCTTCATGCCTTCAAAACGCTCGAAAATAACATTCACCCAAAAACATAGAACGAGGCGAAGCATAAACGATTATGGTCACACAAAGCATAAACGATTTTAGTCGCATCTTTCGTTACACCTCCCTTTTATTTTGGCACGACCCTGCATTTGAGGTGCCTTCGGCTCCGCTACTAGCATTTGAAGACTACTCCCGCCCATCCACCCCACCTTTTCCCTCACCACAGCACCACCCATCTCCCCGCACAGCCACCCTGCGCACCCAACTCCCGCTCACAGTGCACCTTCCCGCCGTCCGCCCATCACCTCAAACTGCGCTGCGCACACATACTGCCCCTTTGCCCCACCCGCACTCCGCCCACTTAGGGCGTGTGGGATTTTTCTACGAACTTCCCATAGTTCGAACTTCTATAAAGGTTCTACACGGTAAGATACAATCCAAAAATGTTTGACTACGGTGCAAAGCGGTTCTATTCGAACTTAAACAGTTATAAAAGAAAAATCACACACGCCCTTAATATTCCCTTCCCCCTCCCTTTCTTCCCCCGAACCTAACTCAGCAATCCTGCACCTTCCCCTTCACCTTCACCTCGCCTCCCTTGCCCCCTCTGCACCTGAAACACACATTTGTTCCTCATGATCCATCACACTACATTTGACTGAAGTAGTTTTCCTACTAGAGTCTAGGTCTTTCCTAGGAGCCTAGTACACCTTCGCTGCAAGCGATCTCCGGTTTCCGCGGACCACCTCTCGACGGTTCGCCACACGTAAAAAATAAACACATAAGAACAGCAGGCTCGGGTTGTGTTGTACGTAGTTGTACGCATGGCGACGGACGGTAGCGTGGGACCCCCGCCACACAGCGAGCATGATCACCTGTTTAAGCTGCTTCTTGTCGGTGATTCAGGCGTAGGCAAGAGTTGCTTGCTTTTAAGATTTACCACCGACACGTTCGACGATCTTTCGCCGACCATCGGTGCGTGCCATTTGTCACCTCACCGCTCCTAAATCTGAAGTCGATTGCTAGATACAGGCACCTACCCTATCATACTCATAATGTCGCTACGATCTGAATAGTGATCTCGATTTGTCTAGACTGTTCCGCAGTTTTTTTTTTTTTTTTTTTTCCGTGACATTGTTGGACATAGTATCGTCGGCTGATCGTTTCAGCGCCAGTAACAGCTTTTATGTACACTTGACCCTGTCCACCTTTCCAATTTTAGCCGTCACTTGATGTCAACCGTAGCAAGTCCACAATGTCACCAGCAGATGGTCTTTCATGCTTTTTTTTTTTTTCGTATTAATGCCGTGGCTCCAATGTCGTCAGATGCACCTCCCTGGTCGTCGCCCAGCCTGTTCCGTCCTTCATGACTGAAAATTTCCTCATATTTAATTTCTTGCCGTGCTCCCTTTTTCAGGTGTGGACTTCAAACTTAAATCAGTGACCGTCAACGGCAAGCGGATCAAGCTAACAATATGGGACACAGGTGAATAGCGAGACACGACGAGGATGGCCAATTTACCTGTTGGTTGTGCCACCTTACTCCACCATTGGTTCCTATTCTTTTGCATCTGACGTCACACACATGCACGTATGCGAACTAACTCAGCTTATGCTCACTCTGGTGTCTTTGTTCTTTTTTCAAACTTTCCCTCACCCTCCCTTATTCTCTCTACCCATTTGCCATCAGCCGGTCAGGAGCGATTCCGTACGCTCACAAGCTCGTATTACCGTGGAGCCCAGGGAATTATCCTGGGTGAGTTTTTTTAGGACAGGTTATTGCACTATTTGTTGTTGCGTGGCAATTTATGCAACTGGTGAGCACCAACGGCGCAGGCGAATGTGTTGTGCAGGCAAATGAATGACTCGGAATGTGGTGAAATTGCGGACGGCAGTGATAGTGGCAATGTGATGAGGACGATAGGCTTAGTTGCACTCCTGCAATTGTAGGATAGGGCATATCTGATCGCGTTTTTATGGTTGCGTTCCACTGTCGCATGGTCGCACTGTTTTTTCGCCACTTCCCTTTTTCCAGCCATCCCCTACCTGCGCCTCTCCTTTCCTCCTGACGCCACCTTTTCCCTCCCTCCCCCGTCTTCTGTCCCCTTAGCTCATCGTGTGCATTCCCCCCCGCATGCACTCGTCCCCGCGGCATGCCTCTCCCTGCCCGTCCCTGTTGTTGTCCGTGCAGTGTACGACGTGACGCGGCGAGACACGTTCACGAATCTGTCGGACGTGTGGCTCAAGGAGATCGACATGTACTCCACCGTCTCGGACTGCGTCCTCATGCTGGTCGGCAACAAGGTCGATAAGGTATTTTACCTCCTCACTGAACTGTGCATGCTCCTCGTCCCCTTCTTCCTTCCCCTTTCCTCCCACCCACCCTCCTCCTCCTCCCATCCCCCCCGTCCCCTCCCGCTTTCCCCTTCCACCCCACCCCACCCCGCCCTCCCCACTCCCTCCTCACCTTTCCCCCCTTCCTCCCCCCCCTTTCCTCGCACACCTCGCGCGTATGCCGTACATTTGGCCTTCTGCGCTCCTACCGCCTCGTGTCCCAGTGTGTTTGTTCTTCTGCTGGCTGGCGTACTCGTGAAAATCATCGTGCTTGCATGCATGCCTGCCTGCCATGCGCACCATGTTGATACCCATAGCTTTCGTGAAAGTCCTAATGTCTCCCAAGCTCTGCTCCTCTCCCTTGCTCCCCACCCTACCACACTCCTTCTCCCTCCCCTCTCCCTCCTCCTCCCTCTCCCCACTCCTCCCCCTCTTCTCCCCCCACCCCACCCCACCTTTCCTCATCCTCCTGCCCCGTATCCCTCTCCTCCCTTGCCATCTCGGCCGCCCCACTCGTCCCTGTCCATGCACCATCCTCTCTCTCTCTCTCTCTCTCTCTCTCTCTCTCTCTCCTCTCTCTCTCTCTCCTCTCTCTCTCTCTCTCTCTCTCTCTCTCTCTCTCTCTCTCTCTCTCTCTCTCTCTCTCTCGCATGGCAGGAGTCGGAGCGGCAAGTGGCCAAGGAGGAGGGCATAGCGTTTGCACGGCAGTACGGCTCGCTCTTCCTCGAGTGCTCCGCCAAGACACGTCTCAACGTGCAACAGTGCTTCTCCGAACTAGTACAGAAGGTGAGCTCTGCATTCAGGTAAGAGCCTTACAGCAGGTCAGGTGAACTGTGCAGAAGATGAATAGCACAGAACCTAAGATACCCAGTCTGGATGGTTACCGTTTATGTGTCCTGCCATCGACCCTTCGCCATTTTTAATGCCGTGCTGTGGATTGTGCTGTGTATCTGCTCCGCTCCCGCCCCCTCTCCCCCCAAAACCTCTTGTATCTGTCGGCCACCCCACCCCATTCTCCTTACCCCTGTCTGTCCACCCACTTCCTTCACAACGCCCCCTTCCCCCACTTCCCTTTTCTACCTTGGAGCAGATCATAGAGACGCCCTCGCTTGTGGCGCACAACACACTCACCGGGCTTTGAGACATCTCAAGACACACCCTTCCTTTCCCCCACCCCGTTTCCACCCCCCACTTGCGCTGTACATTCCTCTTGGAGCAGATCATAGAGACGCCCTCGCTGGTGGCGCACAACACGCACGCCACCAAAGTGCTGCGCAACTTGCAAGCAGAGTCTAACCCCGTCTCCGACCCCAGTGGCAGCTGTGGGTGCTGATTGCGCGTGCTGATCTTGTACTCGCCGCGTCATTACAAGCTGTTGCTCGCTCCATGCCCCATGCACACCACTGCGTGTTCTGTGTGTCACCCGCTGCCTTCGTTTATCCACTTCCATACCAGCCCTTGCTCACAGCCTGCTGTTCTCGCCCTTTTTGCTATTACCGTATTCTTCGTCACGGAAATTCTGCAACCTTTGCTTGTAATATGGGATGCCATTTACTTTCTTAGGTGCCGGTAGAAGTCACTGTACTGGGACTCGATTCGTAGAAATTCCTCTAGGTCGACCCACCACCTGGTTGTGAAACTCCAGTTCAACTGTAGTTCCCCACAGACGGGAGAGTGCTTAATGAAGTGGGGCTACCTTCACGGTTTTGTCTCACAGTCCGGCGGGGTTTCAGAACACAAGCCATCCATGACCATAACACAAATGCCAAGCCTAACTAAATGATATTTGCAAGGTGAATTGTGCAACCTTTCGTGGATGGATTGCCATCAGAACTGGGTGCGCAAATATCACCTAGGTTGCATTCCATGCAATACAAGGAATTGGGTGCGCAAATATCATAAAGAATTGTGAGGAAGCCACGCTTTTTCACAAGGTGAAGATTTAAAGAATACGAACCCTGTATGGTACCAAACACCCAGAACAGGCATAGTGAAAACCATCAGCATGCTACAAGAACTACTACCACATAGACTCTTCTGCACTAAAATGCATGGCGCCCTAACTCCAAGTGAAACCTACCGTATCTTGGCTAGTTCATAAGCATAGAGTACAGGATATCAGACCACGTATCGGGAAGGCCTGGCGTACACCAATGGGAACAATCCACCTTCGACCCCCCTCCGCCGAACTTCTGAATGTGCGCGTCGGGGCGAAGGAGACTGAGGAGCGTTATATCGAGGATGCTGAATTTCACAGTACCGAACTGGGTGTTGCTGGTGCCGTAAGACTGAACCACGGCCCCAGGCTTACTCGCCATCGCGCCGTTGATTTCGGATGTACTCTTTGAAGAGGATTTCGACTTGGAAGAATCTGAAGAGGATTTAGAGTCGGAAGACTTTTTGCTGTCGCTGCCCGACCCAGATTTACTCGAAGACTTTGAGCCAGAGTCGGAGCTCTGGACAGCTTTCTTGCTGTCACTGCCCGAACTAGAGCTCTTGGAGGAAGAGGAGTCGGAGCTCTTGGAGCTCTTGGAGTCCTTGGAAGAACTCGAGGAGGAATCGCTCTTAGAGGACGAGGAAGTCTTTTTGTCCTTAGAACTCGAGGAATCCTTGCTGGAGGAAGAGCTTTTGGAGTCCTTGGAATCTGTGGAATCCTTTTTGGAATCTTTGGATTTTTTTTTGGAATCTTTGGAATCCTTGTCCTCGTCGTCGTGGAGGCCCCAAAGGATTCTCCTCTCCTCCTTGGCCTCAACCACCCCACCCGCCACCTCATCGCCTCCCCTCTCCCCCATACCCTCATCCCCCATCTCCATCACATTCCGCCCCTCCGCCGCACTCTTCGAGGTCACCTTCTTTCCGCTTCCGCTTCCACTCCCGCTTCCGCTTTTGCTTCCACTTCCGCTTCCGCTTCCGCTCCCCTTCGCGCCCTTGCCACCGGCCGCCGTAACGCCGCTTCCGCCGCTGTTGGTGAACACCGCGAGCTGCTCCTTAACCGCTTCCGCCGCCTCGCTCTTCTCAAGCGCCACCTGAAATTCCTCCTGGGTCATCGGCCGCCACCACCCCGCGCAGTCCTTGCCCGTGTCGAACGAGTCGCTATAGTGGAACGGCGAGAAGGTCAGCAGCACGGGGATTCCGCGGAAGTTGGATTTGACGATCGTGTTGCGGACCGTCGTGAGCGCGATTTTCATGGCTGCGAAGCCGGTCAGCCCGCTCTGCTTCACCCCGCCGATGTAGTATTGGCGGAGGCTGTCCGGCGCCTACATGGCGCGCGCGGAGGCGGGGGAAGGGGAAGGGGAAGGGGAAGGGGATGGAACTGAGTTGAGAGGAGGGAGTTCAAAAGAGACCGTCTATACCGAGTACGAGAGCGTGTGAGCGTGGAAGACTGGAAACGTGGGCGCGCTTGACCGTCTTACATTGACAAACCAGTGACCGGCGTTGAAGATAAAGACGTCGATGTCATCGAGGATTTTCGCCCAGCTGCTGTGCGGCTTGTCCAGATTGATGTTCCACACGCCGCTGCTGGACGCCTTGCCCTGGGTTGGCGAAAGAGGGTGAGAGAGATTGTTTTGAGAGCCGAAGGTAAAACAAAAGGGTTATATATGTAAGTGAGCACCGGAAGAGGCATGCAGCAAGAAGGGAAGGAAGGGGCTGTCGTGATTTTAATAGAATGGTAAGCGGCGACACGATGATCTGGACGGACTTTCAACAGAGTGAGTGGTTGGTGTGATCTGGTTAAGTGTGGGACGTACAACAGGGGACGCGTCGACAAGGAAAGCCGCGGCGATGTGCAGCACAGTGACGTTGTACGCGTCAATAATGAACCCGCTAACGTCCTCCGTGTCCAGGCTCGACGTCATGCGCTGCGTACGACGCGCGGGAGTCGGGAGGGTAGTCAAGGAAAGAACGGATGAGGAGAGGAAGAGGGCAGTGATAGGAGCGGCCATTCATCTCCATTTATCTCCTTATGACGAGCAGACATTTACTATCTTACGACGAGGTATGCAACGAGGACCGGGAATAAGGAGGCCTGGTGGACGGGAGAGGGAAGAAGGAACCGTTGCCGTGTATACACGTCGATCCGCCGCGACCCAACACGCCTTCAAATCGGTTCCGCGCATCTCTGCGAGCGCTGCGGTTCTGCGAGGGATTGCACTTCTGCACGGGCGACGGGACTCCTCGTGAGCGACGCGGTTCTGCGCGGGCGGCGCACCGTGGTGGAGGTTCTGAAGGGGAGGATGCCCTGCAGCGAGCCTAGGAAGTTCGCTGAGAACAAGTCGCTTCGAGACGACTTCATATTCGAAACTTCGACCCAACCCAAAGTTCACTGCTGCGGCTGTTTTGAGCAAGTTTTGAGACCAGTCAAAGTTCTCCTCGGGGGACGCACCGAGGTGGAGGAGTTGGAGGAGAGAATGCACTGTAGCGAGTCCTCGAAGTTAGCTGAGAACGAGTCGCCCGCGATTCCGATCACCTTGTTGCGGTACCGGCTCAGGAACTTGCCCGAGTCGAACCTGCAACAGCCGCAATAGGAGCAACAGGAGCAGGGACCCCATGTGAGAGAGCGCTGGGAAACAGAAAAACGAAGCAAGCACGCAAGTCGGAGCGGAACTAGGCGAGGGGCCGGTGTGCAGGTGCGCTTCTGCTGGTGAGCTGTAGAATCCCAAGGTCATGCGCGCGGACCGTCGCACGGCGATCGCAGCGTACGGCCGCAGAAGTGCAGTCCCCACGAATGGGATCGACCCCTGAGCCACGAATGGCTTTCAAATTCCGGGCAGCATTGAAAAAAGGTTTCAATGCCCGGTGAGTCTCACCTCTTCAGAGTGCACTCGTCGGGCTGCCAGCGCCAGTTGAGGTAATTGTAGTCGCGGCGGCCGTTCTTATAGCAGTTGGCCTGCGACCGAATGGTCTTGCAGCTGTACGCGGAATACGAGGGCTTGGTGTGAGGCGACCGGATCCACCTGCGGGGGGGAACGAGAGCACGCGGTTGGGGATCGGGGGCCAGGGAGCCAACGAGCACGTGGTCAGAAAATACTCGTTATGTTCAAGAGCGGGGTTCGGAATAGGAGGCAGCCGCGACGGTAACGCTGCCTTGCTTCTTCGTGATGAACGATTGGAGGACCCGCGACAGTAACGCGATTCCCGGAATACACTGACCCGCCATGAGGAAGCAAGAAAGCCCCCTAAACGTCGAACTGGTACTGCCCTAATAATCGTTAATCGTTAAGGAAAGCAATGCTGCGCTGACCTGCCCTTGGCGTAATTGCAGGCGGCGCCGCTGATAGGGTAAGACCCGGCGTTCGCCACTTGCTGCCAGGCTAGAGGAAGCACGAGAAGCAGCAGCAGGAGATAGAAGAGGTGGGGCCGACCCATGGTTGGAGCTCCTGCTTTAGCGACTAGCAGTCGAGCGTCTACTCAATGATCTTACGATCGTTCCTACGAGTGCTTCTCCTTTCCGATCAGTGGAGGTAGGGAGTTAAAATACGTAGTGGGTGTTGCATGTGGGCTTCATACTTGGTATTCACTGCGGTTATTTGCCTGAGGCCTACAGGGAATGGCGTTCCATGGAGCCCTCGAGTCACGACTCGGAACGCGTGGAGAGGGAGACTTCCGCTGCCAGAAGTGTGCAGCGGCTCGGTAATGACCGAAATAGAGCGCTAGGTCAGTGCCACTGGGTTAAAGCTCTGTTGGGGCTTGGATCGGCACCAGCGCTGCGTAGCGGGATTGAGAGTGCCTAGTACCGACATGCGCTCCGAGTAGTGACGGATTCACAGAAGTTTGATAATACTGTTGAATCGAGCAGCCATGGTAAATGGGGAGCCGCTTTGCGTGAGGCGGTCGCGAACTCGCGGCACGACAAACAAAGGAAAGGAGAGGTGAACGGGGCCGCTCGTGGCGGAATGTACGGCGACCACGCGGCTGGAGGTGAGTGGCGTGTGCCCGCACATGCCCCCAATTCCACAATTCATATGGTTGGTCATCGTGTCGAACGAGTCTGGAGATGGAATGAGAAGAGAATGGGGAAGAGGTGCGTGAGAAGACTTGACAAGCCGCACCGCGATGCTGAGTCGCGCGATTGTGACTACTGTACAGTTGTCGGTGAGCACGGCTCATTGCACTGTTCTTTGAAATGCGGGTCGCGAGTTGACGAGGCGTACTTGTCTCCAAGCGCTACACGACAGGCACGAACAATTTTCAAGGACTCCTTGGAGCTAGGCGGTAAAACTCAGTTCTCTGGGGCTGAACAGTTTCTTGGAGGTCCTCTGGAGTTCCCATTACGTGAACACAGAAACGCCGAAATGTCTGAGCTTACATAAACGTTTGAACAAAAATGAAAGCACCCGTCCAAGTCTCGGACATTCAATCCTTCCTGTGGTATCAGCTGGTTCATTGCAACTCGAGGGTTCGTTTCTCTGCAAAAACGAAAGTGTTTTACGGAAATATCCCTCCAGTGTCGAGATTGTGGTGAATCGCGACGATACTGTTGGTCATCGAGTCACGTCCTGGTTTGTGTGGAAGGGTTGCGGGAGACGTCAGTTGATTGGTGGATGGCTTGTGAATTCACGCTGCTCCGTGGGTCGTGGATTGGTTAGCGAAGCCAGGTATGCGCTCCATCGTGAGGGGTTATGAATTTTGCATTGCTGAGTGAATCGACAAGAGGTATATGCTATGAAATAGGGAAATTGTCCTACCTATATTATGAATCATCTTCATGCAGCCTAATATGCTTGTATGCACATATATACAATTTGAATTTAACAATAAAAAATCATCCGATACATCTATTTTAGACAGTTTTGTTCTTTGGGGATGAGATACACTATACAATGCGTACATCCACAGTTGTAGCTGGCCATTTTAGACAGTACAAATACGGTAAACTATTGTTTGTCATCATGTGGTGATCATATGTTGCAAAGGGATTTCTTATTCTAGCTATGCTCGTGTATCGAGCTAGTGCAGGGTCTGGTTTTTTGGCGGGAAGTCCATATTGTTCCAAACCTGGTTGTGGTTTGCCGAATCAAAATCTCGAATTCTGTCATTCAACAACAACCTCATGCATCCATCACTGGTTCCCCCAAGTGACGACACCTGACGCAGCTCCGTTCCCTCCTCGTCGCCTTCTTCCCCCTCTCCTCTGAACTTCACACTGACCTGACCAGACCAGGCGCCCCCATCACAGCAAAAATGGGCTGATTAGAGCACGTGTAGAAAGAAAGTGTAGATCACTCTTTGGGCGTCTAGTTGTGCGTATGTATGGCGGGGACAGCCTGCCTGTTCGAGTGATGTCCCTGACTAACCATAGATTTTGTTAGGATAACATCTAGATTATCGTAAGTAGGTCTGGCGTTTTGAAGTCAAGCAGAATTACCCCTTCGATTTGTCGAAATCCACATCAGTATTTGCCAGATCGTATCAACTGTCTCGTTTCCCATGTCTTCCACCTTATCGCGTCTCGGCGCGCCTCTGCGCGCACCTTCCGAATCATCCATTGCCTCTCGCAGCGTCTACGATGATTACAATCTCCAACCAGCCAGCTCACGTTCGCCCGCCTTCCCCGCCGCCTTTCCCGCTGCCATTCGCACCGCGATTCCCGCGAGTGCTGTGCAAAAGGGTTCGATGGGCTGGCAAGGAGGCAGATATGGATCAACCAGGAGACGGCGATATCTCGCATCGACCTCACCTTCTCGATCGTTACGGGCCGTGTCGTTATTGTCAAAATCGTCGTCCATCTCACCGTCGTCGACTTGGCAATGCGTTTCGCGGCACAGAAACGGCTCTCTAAGTGGGTTATCGACGCCTCTACCTGATCTGATCATGCAAGCCGATCCCGAATCTGGAATCTGCAATCATCACGGGTTCGATCTGCGTGGTGATCCGGGTAATACGGCTACCGGGCTTGTTGTTGCGTGCTGCGACAACCGCGGGGGATGCGCGGATACTGGCGCCGATCGTGCGGTGATCCTCGGTGTCGCAGCGGCTTCCGCGGCGTGGTTCGCGGGGGATGCTTCCGCTCAAGCGTTCCCGACCAAAGAGATCGGGCAAATGGATAAGGTGGCGGAGAATGGGGGTGGAAGGGGAGTGGGTGGAGGGGGAGGCGGGGGCGGAGGAGGAGGGGACGGAGGGGGAAATGGAGGAGAAGGGGGCGAGGGCGGAAGCGGGGGCAACAAACCCGCTGATTTGAAGATCGGATCGCGTGCAGACACAGATAAAGACGCTCAACATGAGGATATGGAGGAGGGGAAGGAGGGGAAGGAGGAGGAGGAGGAGGCAGAAGCTGGTAATTTGGCTTCTGGAAGCGCTAAGAAAAGCCATAAAAGACTATCGGAGTCGTCGCCTCAGAAATTGGCTTCTGGGACCACCATGACAAGCCATGCGGAATTACTGGAGACGATTAGAAGGGAGAGGGACGCGGGGAAGAGGAGCGGGGAAGTGGGGGGTCGATTGCGGAAGGGGAAAGGCAGGGGGAAGCGCAGCACTCCCCGAGCGGACGCCTCTTACGAGTATCTAGGCGATCTGCTACTTGCTTCTCTTACCTCCGCCGCTGCCCCTGGCGCGGGGGCTGTTGGCGCGGGGGGAGTTGGCGCGGGAACGGGCACACCACGGAGCAATCCGTGGAACAGCAGCGGGCGGCGGAGGGCGGAAGACAAGCGCGCGGAGGGGATGATGGATTGGCTGGCGGGGCTGGTGCGCGGAATGACGGCAACGCGCCTGGAGCGCATGGACCGCGCGGAACGGCAAGCGTTGATGGCGGAAACGGCGGAGCTGGTGGTGCAGATGCTGGATAAGCGGGCCGCGGAAGATGGCTTCGCGCACCGCTCGGAGGTACGATACGATACGATACGATAATGGCCATTGTCAAGACACCGCCACCAGAGAGTGACAATGCTAATCCACACTCACAACAGTCATTCCCACCATACATCCCCCACCGTGCTCCCTATCTAGTTTTGAGGCGCCTCAAAACTAGAATCCACACCCACATCAACCATCCCCACCATACTTCCCCCACCGTGCCCCCGATCCAGGTGAGCGCCCTTCGTCGCTTGCAACGCGAGGCTTTCCAGGACCTACTAAGAGTTAAAGACCGCTTGCACAAACTAGAGTACTATACTGGGATTCGTCGCCTGCAACCCTTTGGCGCCGCCACCGCCTTCCCCGCGTCGCCTCCCTCCGCCTCCGGCGCTGGAAGCGCAGGGTTTGGGGGAAGCGCGGGGAGCGTGGGAGGCGCGGGGGGTGCCGGGATGGACCTGGGCGGGGGTTTTGGGTTTGGGCTCCTGGGGGGAAGCCGCACGCGGATGTACGGGGAGGTGGCGGCGGGTTCCGCGTTCGTGCCCGCGGAGGGGGAGCGCAGCCATGCTGCGCGCGCGGGTCTAGAGCAGGCGGGCATGCGGTCAGGGCTTACTGTGAAGCTACGCCTGGACACGCTCTGCAGACGCTGGGGCAGAGGCGGAAGCACTGGTAACACTGGTGACGATGGTAACAGCAGTAACAGCGGTGACAGCGGCGGCAGCAGTGGCAGCAGTGGTAGCAGCGGGAAGAGCGGTGGTGCTGGGTCTCCAGGGGGGGCGGTGCACGGGAAGAGGAGAGACCCGGAGTACCTTCTGGTAACCGAGTTAACGTCCGGTCTGGGCGAGGAGAGTAGCAGCTTCATGTTAGGCGGCCCTGTGAACCTGCACAAGGTGCTCTACAGTGCTGCGCTCTGGGACGGCGTGCGTCTGGCTGTAGCGCCGCTAGGAGCCGTGGGGTCGGATGTAGCAGAGCCGATCAACCCTCTCAAGGTGCGTGCTTATGGTGGTGCCGGTGTGGGGTTGTTGAAATGGGCGTGCGCCTGGCTGTAGCGCTGCTGAGAGCTGTAGGGTCGGATGTAGCAAAGACCTTCGCCCCTCACCTCTCCCTCCTCCCCACTGCCCACTCCCCAGTCCCCACTCCCTTCCCCCTAGTATCAACACCTGACTCATCTAATCTGGAGGCCTGTTACCTGTATTGATGCTTGAGACATCTCAACGCCATTGTTTCCCTCCCCCCCTCCTATTCCCTCAGGACCAAGGCCTGACGCGCTTCGCTTCTGGAGGCCTGCCGCTGCACCGCCGCGCCCGGGGGTCCGCCCTCGCGCTCACCCTCCGCTCCTCCCCATGGTCTTTCCTTGCCTTTCCCATGGCCCCCGTCCTCTTCCCCCCCCTCCCAGGACCAAGGCCTGACGCGCTTCTCATCCGGAGGCCTGCCGCTGCACCGCCGCGCCCGGGGGTCCGCCCTCGCGCTCACCCTCCGCTCCTCCTCCGCCTCCTTCTCCCTCGCGCACTTCCTCTCCGGCTGGGGGGTAATGCCTGACCCAGATGGCACCTCCCCCGGCCTCTGCGTCTCCTCTCTCGCGCAGCTGTCTCTCCAGCCGCAGGAGAACGTCGTTCTGGCGTTTTCGGCGCTGAATAGAGTGTGGCCTGCGCCCCCTATCTTGGCGTCAAACGGACTTCATTGGAGCGAGATGGGTCCGTTGGTTCTGCCTAGGGTTAATCCGTTTGGGTGGGGGGGGAGAGAGGGAAGCGCAGGGGGGGATGGGAGCTCAGAGGCTAGTTTTGGCAGTGGGGTTGGCGGGTTGGGGGGGAGGGGGCGAGGGAGGGGAGGAGACGAGGGAGAGGAGGGGGAAGGGGGAGGAGGAGCGGGGCAGGAGCTTTGGCTACCCCCTCAGGACGAGCCGGGGACAGCCGTGCAGTCAGTGGCAGTGGCAGGGGCGATTCAGATAGGTAAGTCTACTACCGTCGCGGCGTGGGCACAGGCAGAGAATGGGGATTGTTTGGATGAGGAGGCGAAGAGACGGCTGCAGTGGTCGGTTTCGCTGGCTTATCGACCGTGGTGCGAGGGGGAGGGAGGGGAGGAGAGAGGTGGGGATGGGGTTGGGGTTGGAGAAGGGCTGGGAGGGCAAAGCGGGGAAGGGAGTGTGGGGGAGGGCAGTGGCAGCAACAACAGCAACAGCAGCGGCGGCGGTGGCGGCGGCGGCAGCGGCAGCCATAGCGGTGGCAGTGGCGGTGGCAGGAGCAGGAAGAAGCAGGGGCAATGGTGGGAGAGAGCGATGGTAGGGGCATGCGTGGGGTCATCCCAACCGGATGTGTTCTCAGGAGGCATGGAGAACGAAGATGGAGCAGGGGCGCTGGGTTTGGTGCAAGGAGAGGTGTACGTGCGAGTGCCGTGTGCGCGAGGAGTGGTGCTGCAGCCGGGGGTGGTGGTGGCGCATGGGCCTGAGAGTGGCCTGCACACTGCTTACATGCTCCGGACCTGCTGGGAGCTCTGAGGTGGCTTTTGAGGCGCCTCGAAAGTCACTGCCTACATGCTCCGGACGTGCTGGGAGCTGTGAGGTGCCTCGCAAAGGAGATGTCTCAGAAGGTGGTGCTGCAGCTGGGGGGGGTGGTGGTGGCACATGGGCCTGAGAGTGGCCTGCACACTGCCTACATGCTCTGGACGTGCTGGGAGCTGTGAAAGCGACAGAGAGTGAGTGAGAGAGTGAAGGAGCGGATGGTGGGATGTAGGGGTGGTGCGGACAGGAGGGAGGTTGAAATGCTGGACAGGAGGGGGGTTGATTAAAGAATCGACGGGGAGGAGGCCTGGATTGTGATATGACCAAGGGGTGGTAGGAGAGGTTGGGCGATGGGAGGGTGAGAAGGAAGAGAGGAGAGGGGGCCGAGCGGAGAGGGGAAGTGCAAGAAAGGGAAGTTGGGGAGGGGGGGTTAACGTGGTAACTTGGTAACTCCTGATGTAGATCAAACTATGGGATTTCCTGGTGGGGGGGGGGGGGGGGGGGGGGTAACTGGGTATGCATGTGCGTGTTAGGATGATGGACAAAGCTTTAAGTGGCAAATGTGTGCGTTGGTGTGAGTAGAGTGGTTGTTGCTCTGGTCTGGGTTAAGTGGATGCTTTGATAGGTACCGCAGGTACGGTAACTGTGCTGGTGCTTAGCATTGGGATGCATTGTTCTCTGTAGGCTCTTGTGTTGATTGTGTGTTGCTGTACTATGCTATGCTAATGAGTTTGGGCTCAGCCAATGGTGATAGTGCGAGGGAGAACCAGACTAAATAATGATGCTTTTTTTTGTAACAAGTTGGGGAGTTTCTACATGAAGCGCTACAATGGGTTGCTGAAAGCTGCTTGCTTGCCTCTAGTCTCACACCTCTGCAGTATTGATTGAATAAGCGGCTCCAATAAAAGTGTTACAAACTGAACACTTGACATACTTAAAAACAGGGTCGAATTGGACCAAACCAAAGCAGTTCAAAATTGTCCCACGACGATCCCAGCATAGCACGGCTTTAGGTGCAAGCAAGCATGTCCCTCGGAACAGTAGAGTAGGGCGTAATAGACAACAGTGCGGCACAGTCAGACAGACAGGATGAGAACAAGCTACGGTAAGGGAGACAACAGCACCATCCACTCTCTCACACCATTTCATCTCCGCTATCCTCAGCCATGTGGCAAAACACATGCTATCCCTGTACAGAGTATTGCACTGAGATGACGGTTGGGTTGGGTCTATGTACAGGTAGCAGCAGGGGTGGCAAGGCAAGGCAAGGCAGGCGGTGTGATGTGCGAGCGAAAAGTAAGGGGGATGCACAGCTGTGGAGACAAGAGGGCGGTAGTGGTGGTGGTGGTGGTGGTGGTGGTGGTGGTGGTGGTGGTGGTGGTGGTGGTGGAAAGAGGTGACTTTTGAGTCGACTCAAAAGTCTTCTCAATGGCACCTAACTGGTGTCCACTTCCGCATGCACAGCTGTGGAGACAAGAGGAGGGGGGTGGTGGTGGTGCTGGGAAGGAACTTCTGATGAGTCCAGTCAGGAGTAATCTAGGTCAGCAGAAACGAGGTTGAGAGAGGGGGGGAGGGGTGGATGGGGAAGCACGTGGGAAGGAAGGAATTGGTAATAAGAGCATGGGGATGAGCACGTGACAGCACAGCACACGTGTGGCTGGATGGGTGCGGGTGGGGTGGGGTGGGGTGCATGGTTCAGGTTGGTGAGAAAGGTCCAGGTTTAAGGAGTGGAGGTTTGGGGCTGAGATGGGAGTCACAGGGCAGGACAGCAGGCAGTCAGAGTGGAGGGAGTGAGGGGGTCACTTGAGGTTGAACCTCGGGTTCTGGCACACGGCACTGAATGACCACGGTTGACCACGGTTGACCACGGTTGACCACGGTTGACCATGGTTTGACGATAGTTGACCGTGGCTGGCCGTGAGGGAGACAGAAGACAATCAGCTAGCTAACGTAGCATTCATTCCTCATATCCCTTCCCCCCTCCCCATCATCCTCCTCATCCTCCTCCTCATCATCGTCCTCCTCTTCCTCTTCCTCCTCCTCATCCCTCTCTTCCCCCTCCTCCAATTCATCCTCTCCTCCCCCCTGCCTACTTCCCTCCTCCTCAGACGCCCCCTCTCTCCTCCCTCCCCCTTCCCCTCCTCCTCTTCCTCCTCTCCCACTTCCCGTCACCTCATCCGCCCCCTCCTCCCCTTCCTCTTCACCTCCCGCACCCCGCCTCCTCCTCCTCCCCCCTCTCCTCGCACTAACAGCAGCCAGAGCAAGCAAATCCCGAATCGTCAAAAGCCGATCCCTCCCCAGCAAATCCCCATGCTCCTCCCTAAGGTGCATTTGCAGCAACTCTAAATCCTCCGGCCCAATAAGACGAAACCCGCCTCGGCTGCCGCCCGGCTGCTCGCGCCGCCGGCTGTTGCCGGCCATGATCTGGGCGGCGTTGGGCGGCAGCGGCTTCGGGCGGGCGGCGGTGGGCGTCCAGATCTTGACGTTGGATTCGATGCCACTGGTGGCGAGGACACAGAGGGATGGGTGTGGCTCTAGACAGTTCACCACCTGCGCATGGGTGGGTGGGTGGATGGTTGGGTGGGTTGGTGGTTTGTATGAGTTGACTCGACAGTCACTTTGATACCGCTGGTGGCGAGGACGCAGAGGGATGGGTGTGGCTCTAAGCAGTTCACCACCTGCGCATGGGGGTGGCGGGGGTCGGTGGGAGAAGGGGTGGGCTGGGCGGGCGGGCGGGTGGGTGGGTTGGTCTGTTTAGCCGACTCAACGGTCACTTGGATTCCGCTTCGATCCCACTGGTGGCGAGCACAAAGAGGGATGGGTGCGACTCTAGGCAGTTCAACACCTGAGCATGGGGGGTTGGGTGGGTGGGTGGGTCGTTTTTTTTGTCGACTCTAAAGTCACTCTGATTTTGCTGGTGGGGAGCACGCAGAGGGATGGGTGCGGCTCTAGACAGTTCATCACCTGGAAGCTGGGGGGTGGTTGGGTGATTTAGTTGGTGGGTGGTTGGTGAATTGCGGGAAATGTGTGCGAGAAATTGGTGTGAAAAAACCCACCCTCCCAACCCACCCACTCACTGGCCCGCCCAGCTTCCCCCACCCCCCTCGTGCTCTTCCCTCACCCCCCTCGTGCTCTTCCCTCACCCCCCTCGTGCTCTTCCCCCACCCCCCTCGTGCTCTGCTCTTCCCTTACCCCCTGGTGCTCCCCTCTCACCTGCCGATCGCCCGGCAGCATGGCAACGAGTTTGCCGCCTGCTTTGCGCCAGATGTAGATATGCCCGCAGTCCGATCCGCTGACCACGTACTCATTGCGCAACCCAAAGAAGTTCACCCCCTTCACCGTCTGCTCGTTCCGGTGCCCTGTATACACCTGTATCCCCTCCAACTGCTCCCCTCCTGCTCCTCCTACCCCTGCCTCGTCCCCATGGTCATCTCCCCCCTCCTCCTCATCTTCATCACCCATTTGCAAATCCAGATCCTCCTCCTCGTCGTCCTCTACCTCTCCCTCCTCAACCTCACCCTCCTCCTTCTCCTCTACCCCTCGCTCTTCCACACCGCTGTTTCTGTTCCGGCATGCTCGCAGCGTTCCCCTGCTGCTCCCCCGGCCCCCTCTTGCTACCACCCCGTTTCTGTGTGTGGAAAGCAGGCCCACTCTTTCCTCCTCCTCTTCCTCTGCCTTCTCTACCTGTGCCTCGCCCCCAAGCGCTGCCCTATCCACCCCCGTCCCTCTTTCCTCCCCTCCTCTCCCCCTTTCCACATCACCACTCTCCCCTTCCCCCTTATGCCCCCCCTGCCCCTCCTCCCCTCTCTCACCCCCTTCCCTCCCTTCACTCCCACCAGTACCAACTCGCCTTCTAGTATTCAACCCACCACACGCCTCTTCCCTCTCCCCCTCTTCCTCCCCTCTCCTCCCTCCTCCACTCAACCTCCTCCTCCTTCTCTGCCCCTGCCCGCCCTCCGCCCCTTCACCCCCTTCTTTCTCACCACTCCCACTCTCCCCACCACCAACCCTCCCCTCTCCCCTCCCTCTCCCCACCCTCTCCCGTCCCCCTCCCCTCGCCCTCCCACTCCCCGTCACCCCCTCACCCTCCCCTTCTCCTCCTCCCACCCCCTTCACTCTGTTTCTGCGTCTAGCAGCAGCAGGGGCAGAGAGGGGGTCGGAGCCGAGGCCATGGTGGGGGAGGAAGAGGTAGATCAACTCGTCGTTGTACGAGGCTAGCAGCTCGTCGCTCGTTGAGAAGGCCACACACGTGATGTGCACCTGGGTTGAGAAGAAGAGAGGAACGGGAAGGGGAGCAGGGGCCGAGGCCGTGGTGGGGGAGGAAGAGGTAGATCAACTTGTCGTTATACGAGGCTAGCAGCTCGTCACTCATTGAGAAGGCCACACACGTGATGTGCACCTGGTGAGGCGAGGCGAGGGGAAAGGATGTAGGTAGGGGGCAATTTACTATACTTGGTGACTTTTGAGTCGACTCAAAAGGGGGAAGTATGTAGGTAGGGGGCGATTTCAAAATACTTGGTTCCCAAGATGTCGCAGAATGTCCAAGTCCTGAGTCATCCCAATATTTGTATCTTGGGCAAGACCTAATTGCGTGTGTAGTGAAAGTGGTGTTCTGGTGTAGATGTGTGGAGAGAGAGGAGGGGCAGCAATGCACACAACTCTTCGTACTGTGGGGGAGAAATAGTCGCGTGTATTGGGAATAAGGTGGCCCGACCCGATGCAAACGTGGAGCGAGAGAGACTTTTGAGTCGACTCAAAAGTCATAAGGTGGCCCGACCTGATGCAAACGTGGAGTTTTTGAGAATTCTCAAAAACTTCCTGAAAGTCATAAGGTGGCCCGATGCAAACGTGGAGCGAGAGGAGGGGCAGCAATGCAAGGGTGGGTGGGATGGGATGGGCAACACCTTGTCTCATCTCAACCGTGAGCAGTGAGTGAGTAGAACCATTTCAGAGCTAGTACTGCGTGGGAGACAAGTACCGTGGGGGAGATACAGTCGCGCGTGTTGTGAATGAGATGGTCTGGTGCAAAGGTGTCCAGAGATAGGAGGGGACTCATGCAAGGGTGGGATGGGGGGCAGTGTCTGCTCGCACTGCTCCTATTGCACATACTGTTGCTCGTACCGTAGGGGAGATATAGTCGCGCGTGTTGCGAATGAGATGGTCCGGTGCGAATGAGATGGTCCGGTGCGAATGAGATGGTCTGGTGCGAATGAGGAGAGTGAGGAGGGGGTGCAAGCAAGGGTGTGGGACGGGATGGGGGCACACCGACCTCTGAGGAGCGCTGGTGCTGCTCGTACCGTGGGCGAGATATAGTCGCGCGTGTTGTGAATGAGATGGTCCGGTGCGAATGTGTCAAGAGGACGATCGGAGGGCGGCAGAGAGGAAGCTTCCACAGGCATCAACCTGCCGTGGGGGAGGGGATGGGTGGGGAGAGCGGGGTAGGGGAGGGGGAGAGTGGGGGAGCGGACGGGGAGAGCAAGGGATGGGGAGAGCGGGGTATTAAGGGAGGGGAATGAAGGAAAACAGAGGAGGAAGCAGAAACGAAATATGGAGGAAACTCGAGGAATGAAAGAGAGCGGCTTTTATAAGGAGGCGGGGAGGGGGAGAGAGGGGAGGGAGGGGAGAGAGGGGAGGGAGGGGAGGGAGTGTAGGGGAAAGATAGGAGAAGGGGAGGAAAGAAAAGGGAGCGGAGAAAGCAGGAGCGATGTGGATCAATCAACAAGGGAAGAAAAGAACAAGAAAAGACCAAACTCATGGAATAAGACACGGGGGGACAAGGGTTGGTGCACGCACATACCCCCCCCCTAAAACACACTGAATACCCACCACCACACGCTCCACTTGTGATGAGTCGGTTTTTGAGTCGACTCAAAAACCCGACTCATCACACACTGAATACCCCCCACCACACACTCCACTGCCCCAGTCCCCCACCACTCACCCCACTCCCCACATTCCTCCCCACATTACTCCCCAGTTCACTCTCTCTTCTCCACCTACAGACACAGCAAAGAGTTGCGGGCGCCCTCCTCCCAAATCCATGAAAATGGCGTTCAGTCAGCCTGAGAAGCATACCCAGTTGACTTTTGAGTTCCCAGTTGACTTTTGAGTTCCCAGTTGACTTTTGAGTTCCCAGTTGACTTTTGAGTCGGCTCAAAAGTTACGGGCGCAGGGAACTCATGGCAATGGTAATCAGCCAGCCCGGGAACCACACCGGCTACCTCTTCCCAAACCCAATGAGGTGACTTTTGAGTCTACTCAAAAGCCACTAAGTTACGGGCGCAGGGAACTCATAGCAATGGCAATGCCAATCAGCCCTAGAACCACACCGTCTCCCTCTTCCCAAACCCACACCCTCCTCCCCCGCCCTCTCTCCAATTTCCCTCCCCTCCCCGCTCCCCCCTGCTTCCCCAGCCCCCCCTGCCTCCCGTTATCCTCCCCATCTCCCCACCTGCGGATGTCATACAGGCGGGCGAATTCGTCCGCCCCACCCACGGCAAAGAGGTGCGGGCGCAGCGGGTTGACGACAATGGCGTTCAGCCCGAGGGCGCGCTGCGAGCGCATGAGCTGACACGTGAGCAGCTTGGTGGAGGGGCGGTCCTGACGCAGGTCGAACTGTGGGGGGGTGGGGGGGGGGATGGGTGGGGAGAGCGGGAGGATGGGGGGTGGGGAGTGAGAAGAGGGGAGGAAAAGGAATGCGAGTGGAGGAGGGGGAGACGGGGGAGAGGAGGGGAGAAAGGGGAGAGAAGAGGGGAAGAAGGGGAGAGGAAGGGGTCGCAGTGAAGGGGGTTGACGACAATGGCGTTCAGCCCGAGTGCGCGTTGCGAGCGCATGAGCTGACACGTGAGCAGCTTGGTGGAGGGGCGGTCCTGACGCAGGTCGAACTGGAGAAGGGGAAGAGGAAGGAAGAGAGCGCATGAGGTGACACGTGAGGAGCTAAGTGGAGCGGCGGTCCTGACGCAGGTCGAACTGCCATGGGACGAGGAGGGATGCGAGGGGGAGATGATAGAAAGAGAATGCTTTTGAAGCGAATCAAAAGTCGCTGCGAGCGCATGAGCTGACACGTGAGGAGCTTCATGGAGGGTTTTGAGACGTCTCAAAACCCTTCTTCAACTTCGTGGAGGGGCGGTCTTGACGCAGGTCGAACTGCGTAGGAAGCGAGGTGGGGAGAGCGGGGGGATGAGGGTTGGGGCGTGGAGACCGAGAAATGAGAGGAGAGGAAATGGGAAGTAGGACGGAAAGGGAGGGGTACGAGGGGAAGGAGCAAAAAAACACCAGACAAACACCACTCACCATCCCATCCAACCTTGGCATTCACAATCCGTAGCACATATATATGCCGCCACACTTTTTCCCACCCCCCTTCGCTCCTCTCACCCCCTCCCCTCCGCTCTCCTCCTCTACCCTCCCGTACCACCCCATCCCCCTTATCCAATAATCATGCCCCAAACCCTACCCTCTGCGCCATGTCACAGGACCCGCTCCCCTATTCCCCCCTCCCCATCTGCAGCACGTACGTGTCGCACAACCCCATCCGCCCCACCCCACAGCTGAGGAAGCAGCGCAGCGTGGTGGGATCCACAGCCAGCTTGTGCGCGCCCTAGCACCCACACACCTCTACATCCTCTTCCCCCCCCCCCCCCCCCCCCCCCCCCCTTCCTCCCTACCCTCCCCTATTCTCTCCCCCTCACGTACATGCCGCACGACGCCATCCTCCCCGCAGCTGAGGAAGCAGTGCGGCGTGGTGGGGTCCACAGCCAGCTTGTGCGCTCGCCCCCTGTGGCGCGCCAGACGCTTTGTGTCCACACTGCCGCCCTCTTTCAGGATGCTGCACCGCACCTGGTGGGGGGAGAGGGGCACACCGGACCGGAGGAGGGGGGATGGTGGGAGGGAGAGAGGGGCGTTTATGGAAAACGGTTTTTTGAGACGCCTCAGAAGGCGCTTCGTGTCCGCATCAAAGCACAGCCGTCCATTTCTTGGAAAACAAACAAACAAACAAACAAACAAACAAACAAACAAACAAACAAACAAACAAACAAACAAACAAACAAACACCCGCACATTCCCTTTCTCCTGTGGCACCTCCCTCCCCCATCCCGTGCTCCCAATCCCCCCTTCCCCACAGCTCCCGCCAACCCACTATCCAACCACGCACCCGCCCATTCAACCCACCTGCCCACCCACCCATGCACGCACCCTCCCACCCTCCCACCCACCCACAAACCCATCCACGCACCCTTCCCACCCACCTGGCCATCAGCACCACAGGACACGACGGTCTTGTTCCCCGTGTGGGGCAGTGCGCGAGCCTGGAACACGTTGTTCTCTTCCCCATCCGCCCTCTCCCCCAACCCTGTTCCTGACCCCTTTCTATCTCCCAATAACCCACCTGTCCGCCCGCCCACCCACCTGGCCATCAGCAGCGCAGGACACAACCGTCTTGTTCCCCGTGTGTGGCAGAGCGCGCGCCTGGAACACGTTGTTCTCGTGCCCCGAGCGCCAGCGCAGGCGCTGCAGCGCGCGCGGCCAGTCCCACAGCACGATGCTCCAGTCGTCGGACCCCGACAGCAGCAGGTCGCCGCACGGCGTGAAGCTCACCGTGTTCACGCACCCGTGATGCCCCTCCAGGCGCGCTGCTAGCTCCAGACGGGAAACTAGGTGCTGGGGGAACGAGCGGAATGGGGCGGGGGGGGGGAGGGCAACGGGAACGGGAAGAGGGGGGGGAACGGGAAGAGGGGAGGGAGCAGGGGAAAGGAGTGAGGTTGCATGGAAAGCGTTTGAGGCGTTTCAGAAGTGGTCTGACCCCGACAGCAGCAGGTCGCCGCACGGCGTGAAGCTCACCGTGTTCACGCACCCGTGATGCCCCTCCAGGCGCGCCGCTAGCTCCAGACGGGAAACTAGGTGCTGGAGGGACGGGGGGACCAGGGGGGATGGGGCGGGCGGGGGGGACAGCGGGAATGGGAAGAGCGGGGGGAACAGGGGAAGCGAGAGAGGGAGCAGCGGGAACAGGAGAAGCGGTAGAGGGATGGGGAAGATTCGATGTTTCGTTGTTTCTGTTCTGTTCTGTTCTGTTTTGTTTCATTATTTTTTCCGGACAGGAAGGAAGAGCACAGGAGTGGAGTGGAGTGGAGACGACGAGCGGACGGGGTAGTTAAGCGGAGAACGCGGAATAGAAAAGGGTTGCGTGGGGAGACGAGAGCGCGGGTTAGTGAAGGGGAGGAGAGTTGGGTGGGAGGGGGGAAGTTGTAGGGGGAGGACGGCAGGCGAAGACTGGGAAAACGACGTTACGGGGAAGACGTGGGGGCGAGCAAGGGGAAGGACGGTAGCAGAAAAAGACGAATTTTCGGATTCCCAACCGCAAGGCGCACGCTCACCTCGTTCCCCGCGCCAGCGCGCATATACGCCAGTGGCGACCGGCGCCCCTCCTCCCTCCGCCATAGCTCCCTGTGCCCGCACGTGTAGAATGGCGGCGGGCCCGCGTTTCTCCCGCCCGCCCACCGCCGCGTGAACCGGCCGGCAGGTGGGGTGGCGAGACCGTCGCGCACCGTCGACCCGTCCCGCTCCATTTTCGTTTTCCCCCCTTAAGCTTCAGCTCACTCACCCCAACGCTGCTCAAATCCACTCTCTGGAATTTGTTCCCTGAAACCGCTTTTCAAAAACCACTCCCCGACCTTCGACTTTTTTAGCCTCGATTCTCAATATTGTATCAGAATCTGATTCTCAAGTTCAGGAGCCCCACCAGAGTCGCTGTAGCCTCAATGTTAACGGTCAACTCTCCATACCCGCCACCGCCCGTTCCCGTGCCAATCTTGTTGCGTCGACAAAGTGATAGCGCTATGCCACTACCTGCCGGGATAGAGTCGACGCTCGCTACAGCAGCATTCGTTTAACGCAGAAAAACGAATCAACGAAGCCGCCTTGTTCCTAGTCTTCTTCGAGCTAATCAATAGTTTTCTTCCTTGTTTATCCTGCGTCTTGAAAACCCGAAAGATGTTAAAGGAGCCGCTTTGAGCAGTATTACTACGACAAGGGAGACGAGGCAAAGCGCTAGTAACAATGTTTTTGTGAAGTCACTAAAACAAATTACGTGGGACGTGGTCAAGCGTATAGAGAACGCTTGGAACTGAACAAAGCACCGAGTGAAGATATAGCTGAGCGAAACGAAACAATCGATGCACACGCATAGGCGCAACCGACGATTTTCTAGCTACCCCTACTACCTATGCCTCCACTATCATAGGCCTCCTTGATTAAGTCATACCATTCAGCGAGTTTGCGTGCAAAAGGCGCGTCTTATGAACTGCAATCTTCTTCGTAAGCTAAACTCGCGGAAGGACGACACAGAGCAGTAACAAGCCGCAGCAGCAGATATCCTAATTCAGGAGATTCTTAGGGGAACAAGGGTGCTTTGTTCGAGAGAACTCACAATGCAGGCCACAAACAGACATTGTCAGGAAGAATGTGGTGTGCCGTGAACAGACATGCGAGAGAGGAGGAATTCCCAAGGCTTTCTGCATGCTGGTGTGATGTGGCGGCGGGCAGAACCTGAGAAACTCTGACATGCCCGCGCAAATGGTCTGGCGGAAGGTAAGGCGGGGAATGATATGGATGAAATGGGATGGCGTAAACTGGGTTGGGTCTGGTAGGGATCGTTTTGAAGTGGTTTAAAGGAAAATATGGCAAAGTAGGCTGGTGCATGGTGTTCTGGCAACAGCCGTTAGAGCGCGTTCAAATTGACGTAGGGCAGCCCGAAACATGTATGCGCTGAGGTTTGGTTTGGTGAGACTCGCGGCGATGCATGGTGATTGGTCACGCTCGTGCGACAACGCGGCGAATGATGATTTTGAGGGTGAAGGATATTAGGTGGTGAGCTGTACAATACGTCAGTTGGGGCTAGACAGATTCAAGCCATAGTACTGTATGATACACTGATGCCTCCGTATCGAGCAGTTCTATACACCTAACCACCGCTATTTTCTTTCCGTCTATTTTTAACCCCACTTGCGCAAGTGGGTATGCACCCTTTCGTGAATCTTTGACCGAGGGTTGTGTGGGCGTCAGAAATTTCACACTGATTTCACAGTGAGTTGGTTCCAGACCCCCAAAAAGAGGAGAAGTGGCACAAGGGAATTCGCGAGAGCAAAAGTGCCCCTTCTCAGATTTGCTTTCATGCGTTTCTTAACATTAAAAATCGGGGTGCTTCGTAGCCCAAGTTTCCCAAGTGCCCAACTGAAATAGTCGAATGCGTGCAGGGTATCTTCGAAACGCGGGAACAGTGCAATGGTTCGGAGTTGAAAATAGCGGTGGTTAGGTGTATTTCTTCAAACCTTTTGAATGACTCCAAGACAGTAAGATGGTGCCCTTACCAGGGCACCAAATGCTTTCATTATAGCATTTGGTAACAACACCTAGAATGTGATCTCTGAGTAGTGCAATCACCAGCACCACGCTGCAGTTTCCTAGGAAAAAAAAACTCGACCATCACCTAAGGTGGTTTAGCTTTTGTCGAGTCTTTGATGTCAAGTGAAAGCCACTTGTGCAGACCTCCTGGCTTGCCTTGCTCCTCTTGTTGCTGCTGGTTGTGAATCGTACCCTCTTTTTGCTCGTGGTGATGCGGTGGAGAGGGATCCACTAGGGTGCCTGGGGGGTCAAGGGGCGGAGCATCTGGTTGAATCTGAACAAATGGCACAAACGGCAGGGAAAAGGCGGGGGGAGAGGGAAAAGAGTGGTGGTGTAAGCACTCCAGCATCACTGCTATGATATCTGATAAAGACAAACGAAACCAAGACCAAGGGAGGGAGGGAGGGGAGGGAGAAAAGAGAGCACAGTTTTGGAAAACCAGAGCAACTAACTAGAGCAACCATTGAGCGGTAATGGTTTCTGAATATATCACGCACCTCTCGTAATCTCGCCCTGTCCCCCCCCGCCCTTCTCCCTCTCTCTCCCCGTCTCCCTCTCGCTCCCCCTCGCCCTCACCGGATCCCCTATGCTGGTCGCTTGGCGGCCAGCCCCAGAGTCACTGGCTGCTGCAGCAGCACAGGGAACCGAGCAACTACCGGTGCCTCCCCTTCGGTCCTCCCCAGCTTCAGTAGTTACAGCAGCTGCTGCAAATGCTGACAATGCAGCAGCAGAGGCTCCAGCAGCAGCCGTGGCAGATGCAGCAGCTGTGGAAGGAACCGAGCTGCTGCTGCTGGTGGTGGTGGTGGTGGTGGTCGGCGTGAACTTGTGCCTGTCATCAGCTTCACCTGCAACGGCTGAACGAGTCTGAGAAACCGAAGCAGCACTGGTGTTGCGAGCAGGTGAAACTGGCGTGGGAGGGGAGTCTGACTTTGCTGCTGCCGTTGATGCTGCTGCTGCTGCTGCTGCTGCTACTGTTGCTGCTCCTGCTGCTGCTGCTGCTGCTGCTGATAATCCTCCTGTTGCTGCTTCTTGCTGCTTGCCAAGCTCTGAAGGCACACTCCCTTTCACCTCAACTTCCATATCCTCCCTTTCCTCTGTCCCATCCCCTCTCTTCTCCTCTCCTGCCCCTTTCTCAACCTCTTCCACCCTCCCCTTCTGCTGCTCCTCCTCCTTCCCCCCAGCACTCAAACGAGCTTTCTCATTCCTCTCACGCTCCTCAGGCAGGAACGGAAGGTCGCCTGTTTGCCCCTGACTGCGGGTCTTGGGAACGAGCATACGAGGCGGTGGGGGAGGCATGAGCGATTTCGAGCAACCGGGGGGAAAAGATGCAGTGCTATTACCTGCAGCACCACTACCAGAAGGTGCAGCAGTAACAGGGGCGGTGGTAGAAGTGGCGCCAGAGGCAGCGAAAGCAGGTACAGCAGGCCGTGGCGAAATTGGCTCTCGAAACCCCTTCACACCCTTCTCTCTGTCAGCAAATGCTGCAGCATCAGCATTGGTGCTGGCTGGAGGTGTGATGCCTGCTGGTAACCCTGTTACCTGGGCAGATGCTGAGGCAGAGTGGGCTGGGAGAGAAGGAACAGCAAAAACATCAGGGGTAGACGCTGCAGCAGCAGCATCAGTGGTAGCACCATTATACGCAGAGCTAAGAAGGGAACCATAACCAGGCAGAGAGGCAGCACCAGTACCAGCAGTGCCAGCAGCAGCAGCAGCAGCAGCAGCGGCGGCGGCGGCGGCAGGATGGGAAGGAGCAAAAACCCCTGCTCCCGATGTGTTGGCAGCAGCAGTAGCAGAAGAGGAGGAGCCTCTGGAGCAATCCGGAATGCTCTGCAGGAAATGGAAGAGGGAGCGGGACTGCGGGGTAGCAGGGGAGGCCAACGGGGCCC